TTGTGACGCCCTGCCTTACTGCAACTCCAGTTCCAACTGGGAGATGGGGATTCTGCCCTGATGCAGAAGCTCCAGTCATACCCTGACCTCCCCTCCTCCCCTCTTCCTGTCTATGACCACCCCTCCCTGCTGTTGGCTAGGACCAAGGAAACCGTGTGTGTGTGTGTGTGTGTGTGTGTGTGTGTGTGTGTGTGTGTGTGTGTGTGTATGTGTGTGTATTGGGGGGGGGCTGTGAGGGGATGTGGGCTATTGAGATCTCAGCTTACCAGGGCAACACCCAGAAAACCAGCATTAGCTCAGAGGGTCTGGGAACTGAGGGGTGAGAACCAGTCTACTTGGTGTTGATAGCCACCGTTTACTATTTACTGGGTGAGCCTACATTCCAGTGTCTTCTGTAGAATAGAGGATTGAATGAAAGTAGCCATTAAGCCTGCTTGGGATGGGGACTGTTTGTGTCTTAGATCACCATTAACACTCCAGATTGGCCCTTTCCTAAGGAACAGGCACTGTGCTAAACCCATGACATAAAACAGCTGCATTAATCCTCCAGGATAGTCCCTGGAGCTTGCTGAGCCCTGTTCTAGGGCCAAGAAGTCACTGCTAAGTCACATGCCCAAGGTCATGCAGCAGGTGAGTGGTGGGGCCTGGATTTGAACCTGGTTCTAGCACAAAGCTCCTGCTTTCACCTTCTGCTGCTTCGACATCATCTGGGACCCAGGGGCAGCTTTGGTTTGGGGTGGGGGGACAACAGGGGTTCATCCAGACACAGACTGGGACCTAAGCTTCTCCTACCCCTATCTATCTCCTTCTCATACTATCCTCATGTGTGTGCCATGAGACAGTAAGAGGGAGGTGACACTATTGTATGCCCACCCTGTGTGTGTGTGTGTGTGTGTGTGTGTGTGTGTGTGTGTGTGTGTGTGCATCCACACATGGGGGGGGGTAGTCTAAGACCATGAAACATTGCAAGACTATCCATGCTTTTACTAGCCTCAGTTTCCCAAGCTGTCATGGCTCCCAGTGCTGTCTTCTTCACTCCTCTGTGTGCAAGCAAACATAACAAATGCTTATTGGTGTCTCAACCGGTTGATTAAAACGAGCAATCCTTTAAAGCGAAGGCCATATGCCGATCGGTTTAGCCTCTATTTTTGAATCATCAGACACTGTTTTCTCTGTATTTTATCAGCATACATAAAAATAAAAAAGAGGCCAGGAAACCTTTTCATGTTCTAAAAGGATCTCATATATGAGAGAAAGAACGGCATGCCAGGTGGCAGCTCCAGAGAATCTGGTGGTCCCAGGACAGACACAAGGAAGCACAAGAGGTCTTTTTCCTTCCAGAGCAGCTTCCAGTCACGAGCTGCCTGCCTCACCCTTGCCCTCCCTTTTTGCCCCCCCAAGCTCTGCCTGCCTCTCACACAGGCTTGAGCTGGAGGGGGCCCAAAGGGCTGGGTTTGGGCCATACTGATTGGAAATCTTCATTCCTTAAATACTTAGAGTTGGACGTGTTTCTAATTTTATTTTGCATATGAGTGTGTGTGTGGGGAAGGTGAGTGGTGTGTGTGTGTGTGTGTGTGTGTGTGTGTGTGTGTGTGTGTGTGTGCTGAATTAGCGTGTGAGGGGTAAAAAGAAGGAGCTAGGCAAACGTGGGAAGATGTCAGTGGGGAAAGGGAGGCATCAGCCAGGAGTGAGGAGATGGGTGGTACAGACAGGAATCGACAGGATAATTATTTATTTAGAAACCAAATTTATCAACAGAAAAGGACATTAGAGCTGGAGTTTTGAGCCTAGTATAGTGATTTCTTATGCAACAGAGGAAGAACAGCCAAATGCTTTGTCCCTGACAAAACCCCATGGGGAGGTCAACTTGAAACTCCACTTTGATTCTGGCCCTGAGTTAAGCAGCTTACTGGCCATATGAACTCCAGAAGGTGTTTTAAATATCTGCATTCCACATTCTCATCCACAAGAAGAAAATGATGCCCGCATTTGTGATGATGGCAAACAGGATGCTGAGCTGGGGGTACCTCAGGACCAGAGCGACACACTCTTCTCTCCCATCAGCCTTCTCTTTCTTCTAGGCTCTTATCTCTATCCCTCTGTCTTCTCCTTTCTAAAATGAGAACCCTCACCCTGTATTAGAAATATTGGGGAAGGCAATGTCTCTGATTTGCCTGGAGTAGACCAGAGTAAATATTCTGGTTAGTGAATCCATACTCGTCTGATGGAAAGAAAAATCAGCATTTTGAGGTTTTGTCTGACGAGGACACATTTGCCTTTGATCTTCCATCCTGCCACCACCCACCCTGGCAACAGTCTTGTTCTCCACAGTGTCAGAAAGTAGTTTCTAAACCTTACTCTCCATCGGCCTTGTCATCTATTCTCATAGCTGAGCTGTGATGGCACCTGCAGGGGCTCCCGAGGGGGCAGGGAATCAGGCAAGTGTCTGATTGCAGCTGAGCACTCTCCTGGAGGTGCGTGCTGTAAACCTTTCAATTTAGTGGTATTATTTGAGTGAAATAAACTCCCTTCCAAGTGGCAATCATTCCATTTTTACCACAAAATGGAGTATCCAGAGGAAGAAATTCCATGAAGTGAGCAGCTGTTGCTTCTCAATGGGGTGACAGACCCTCCACCCCCATGTCTGTCAGGCTTCCCATACCTTTTGATGGAGGCTACTCCTCAAAGCAACAAGCTGGGTGAAGAGTACTGACGGGTAATGTTTCATTTCCAGACTTTTAGCACAGGTTAGCTCACGGAGAATGGAAGCTGGAGTCTTGAGGTTAACCAATGGTCTGAAATGAAGACGGTAACAGACAGCCCTAGACAGATGCTTGATGCAACCAACAACTAACCACAGCTCTGAGGAATCACAAAGTGCTTCTGAGCCTCAGAAAGCTGAATAAGAAGATACCATCCCTGTCTGCCCAGATTTGGAAGCCATCTTAATGTGATCTTCATCTCAGTCAGCCCCACACATGGGAATTGGATTACCCCAGAATGTCTACCTGGAGGTGCTACTTTACTTCGCCCACACGGACTCCATTCTAACAGC